GTGTGAGTGACAGCGAGAAGGGAAAAAGTGTGACGAGGGACGGGCAGCAGGAACGCAACACAATTTTGTCTGTTCCCGAGAAGGAAGCAACTGATCCAGAAACGGTCCGTAGCAATGGAGCGGCAAGAGCGCAAGAAGCGACTAATGACTGCAAAATTCCTGAACCTCCGCTGAGTGAGTTCAATTTGAGAAGGTTTGAGCTGAACTGGGGGCCCAGAGTTGGTTCGCGCGGGAGTGTTGTGTTGTGGTGGTTATGGGATTTTGTTTTTTTTTTGTTTTGGCGGGCAGAGAGGATGGGCGAGCTGATGGATGGTGGCGTGCCGAATCGAGGGGCAATGGCGCAGAGACTTTTGGTCCAAAAGTTACTCAAATGGCAGATGGCGGCCGTGCTGTGAATTATTGGATTAAATGCTGAGATTACTTTGATCTCTCTATCGTCCGAACCGAAAGAAAGCTTTGCGCGCGCCGAACAGCTGGATTCTTTGGGTCTACGGATGAAGTTGGGAGAAGAAAAAAATTATCAGGTAAGATAGAGATAAACGTAGGTGGTTGAGAGAGAGCTGGCTGCACTGCAAATTCTACCTAACGCAAACAAAGTGGAATCGGCCGAAACTTTTCGCAGTGAACTTTTTCTTTACTTTTTTTCCCTTCTTCCTTCTCCCACCACCCTGCCCTTTCGTCCCTTTCGGATTTGGGCCCCTCCTCAGATTCTTTTGCGCGTGGGGACTTGGGGACTGGAGACTGGACTGGAGTGCATCTCTCGGAGAGACTGACGGTCTGTCAGGTTGGGCAGCTTGACATATTGTTTCTAGTCACACGCCCATCCCCTCCACCGTTGACAGGCGGTATCCCAGGGGAACCAAGGTCATTCAGCATATTCAATGTCTCGAGTGGCCCATTGGATCCCAAACTCAGCTGATGCGCCTCTGTCATTGGCTTGGACTCTGATAGCAGATCATGTCCAGCAACCCAATCATGATCAATGAGTCCGGAACGGTGGGGGTGGTTACATCCGTCCGCCTCATTCCAGTCTTCTGCGAGACGACAGACGCTGGGCGAATCTGTATTCTGGAGGTGTTCACTGCGAACTGCTGTCCTTCACCCTAACTCCCTGATGGCGGTTGTGTAGGGCCGTAGGCACCCCATAAAGTCCCCTCTCAATGCTGCGATGTCGCTGGAAAGTCTCTTCAGATTCTGCAGCCGTAGACCGCCCCCCATTTCTTCATAAGGCGAGACCAGGTGAAAATAGGAACGTGGATATGCAAAGCTAAGGGCCTACTTAGCCTGTGGGTTCACCGTATCGCCGCAAATCTACTAACAACGGGACTCTAGCTGCTTCTGCCCTGAACCTACGCAGGCACCATCACTACCTCCCTCATCTCGCAGTGACACGTAGTACGCCATGCATCGCCGTTCGGCCTTATATCGTGAACTAGGAAGTGCGCGGCTTCGCATGGGTGTGGGCTTTGAAGTATTCGTATACTGCGGTAGACATCGCCAGTAAGGGAACCTGGAACCGACATGGCGGGGCTGTTGATCTCGGGCGGTAGCGTAGTCTCGGGTCGCCAGAGATGGCCTGTCTTTCACTCTCCCCGTTCCCGCCCTGCCGCGGTTTCACGGGAGGTGATGAGAACCTTGCTTAGCAGACGACGACTCAGGGGCCGAGAAGTCCAAGAGAAGAGTTGGTGCTTCTGGCTCTGCTTCTATTCTGGGCATATTCGTAGAGTGAAGAGCTTCTGCATCTTCTTCCATGACCAGGGGTATCCAGCACGGCCACGGAAACCCCTTCAACCTGGCGTCTTGCTGCTGTTCTGACTCCTGCAGACAAGCAGCATCATGCAAGACCAGGCAAGGCCGGGGGTCGGACGAGACCAAAGTCACCAAACGACGAGTGCCCCTATCCGTCTAGAAGGCATTGGATGCTGCCGCGAATCAAAGGAGATGACGACGACAGTCCCAGAACAACGGAACGGCTGCTGCCGCCGCGTTGGGCCTTGACCTAGCATTTTCCACAGGGCCGTCACATCGCCCTCTGGTACATTGATTAGCGGGCTGCATGACGGGCCCCCAGTTGCAGTGCATCGCCAATTTGCCCAAACGAGATGCATTTTCAGCGCCCTCCAAAGCGCGCGTCTAAGTTGACGGAGGATTCAACGACCACCGCTGGTTACAAGTTGGTCAATGGCATCGTCGGCTGTGTGCTTGTAGCTTCCGCTGCTGCATGAACGACGGCTTGTGTAGGCAGTAGCTTTTCATGATCTTGCACCTTGGGGAAGCTCCGTGACTTTTGCTGGTTGTAATACGTTGTAGCGCCTGATCTTTACCAAATAAATGGATCGCTTGCCGCTTGCCGGAGATCCTTCGTCGTTGCTTTTGCTTTTCCCTTTGCGTTGGGGCGGTCTTCTGCGCACGCTCCTGCCCCCCGGCGTCTCTGGGCAGTAAAGTGATGCAAGTCATTGAATCGTGGGTTCCGACGTGATCGTGGTACTGTATCCGTAGAGGGGCCGAGATGTGGATGTTGGAATGACTTGCAGAGCTTTTGCACGGCATATCTGCTTGCTCTGCATGTAATGTGAGACGGAAAAGAATGGGAAAGCCCAGGTCCAACGCTGCAGTCGCAGAGAGCCTTTCCATTCGCCAAGATCCATATCAAGTCGTTCCACGCCAGTACTCCGAATGGACAGACGGTACTCAACACCAAGGGCTCAAGGAGTCCGAAGCCCGCCGGAAGGACGCCAAGCTCCAACTGAAGCTCAGAGGTCAAAGTCGAACCTTGGATGGGGCCAAGACACGACCACTGAAACCCATACTTAGTCGTCGGTATTCAGTATCCACCCGTACTTTGAGGTAGCCCAATATAAGTCGGGGGAGTCTCACCTGTCTTTCTTGATTCTGGTATGGAATCTGGGTGTCCGGTGACTGGCACATCCGGACAGCTCGGGGTCCTCAACTGCTCTGGAATGAGAGACGCGCTCCCCCGCTGATATGAATGACAATGTGCAATGAGCTGTGGGCTGTGAATGTACAGGATGTTGGTATACGTAAGGTAGACTGATAGTGCCTGATATGAGGTGGTGAAGGGTGGATGTTAACAGAGTCCACTTCAAGCCACGAATGCCGCCGGTCGTTTTTCATCGGGAAGCTCCCATCACCGTCGCTGCTTCCCCTTTTCTTCCCGGGCTTTACCCAATCACCGGTTCCCGCTAGGTCATCCCACGGCGCACCTGGAGGTCCGAGATTAGCAGGGCAACTTCGTCTTCACTCCAAAAAAATCCATTTATACTTTCATCTTCCATAGCAGAAGGATCAGTCCGACAGGTCACGCGTGCAAGCTACTTATGTAATGTAGGATTGCTTCCCGTCGCCAGCTAGTAGCGTACGGAGTAATAGTTCGACGCCAGAAAGCGGTGACATTCGCATTGATCGCCCCCCTGAGCTACTTTATCCTACTGTGTAAGTTCCAAGGTACCTTACAGCTATACCTCCCAAAGCTTGAAGAGGTGTAGGTAGACGGCTGTTGATGAAGCTTCATGCAGGGAGAGCGAGTGGTGTTTATTGCTTCATGCTAGTCGCGTTTTACAAATAAACATAATGAAACCACACACGACCGCGAACACGTTTTCATCTCATAACCTATCAGGGAGCTCAATTCACACTCACTTTTATGCTTCCGTCACTGCCTCTTTGACCGACCTAAGGACGGATATTAAAGCCATCATCTTCTCGGACGTAACTCAAAGTAGAAACGAATAGCGGATGTGGAAGTGACATCGGACTCGGCGCTTCGTTTCGTTTGCTAGCACCTTCGCAGTACCTATCAAGTTTGAACTACCCACCATCATTACCGATCGCATCGCATCGCATCGCATCGCATATCGTATCTCTTGACTCTCTCCCCATTCTCACATTGATTACCTCCGCCACTGAGCTCCATCCGGCAAGCCTTTGGCAAGTTGCAACTTGCGACCCTTGTTTGCCGTGCACCTCCGAAAGCAGCCCTGCGGCCTACCACCAAATCAGGTCACCTGCGGCATCAACAAGCCTCAGGAGACCCGCCGCAACTTCTTAGCCCCCTCCTGCCCCCAATATCATCCCACGATTCACCACCAAAGACTGGACACGACGGGGATTCCACAGAACAGCGGCATTGAACCGTCCGCAGCCACATCTCTTCAGTAGACAGCCATCGGCCATCCATCCCGGCCGCACGGCTGCCAGATCCCGCCCCAGCACAACTCCCTCCTGACCTGCATCATGCGGCCTTGCTAAAGACAAACCGCACCACCATCACGACTACGGATACCACCACCTCCAATCCTACCTCTCGCGTCGTGGATGCCATCCTCCACAGCACAGCTGGATATCGACCTTCCTGCGCATATACAGTACCTTAATCGCCTCCACACACACACACACCTAGAGGCCAGCGACACCTCACAAACGACACTTTTGTGGATACTGACACATTTGACCATTCGACGAATACACAAATCAGCTCTCCGATCCTCGCTTTCGTTCCGGCTAGCAACCTCTTTTTCTCTTTCCCCCAGCCAGGGTTCACCACCAAACACCCACCACCTCCGCTTCGTGCACGACCCCTTGTTCGTTCGTCCGTCCGTCCATCCTGCCCACACCTCAGTTGTCCAGAAAGAGAGCCCCGGACGGTCCCAGTACCAGGTCCAGGTCCGTAGTCGCCTCATGCCAACAATCGACTACGCCTAACACGCGTTCGGTACCCGCTACACTCTAGTCTGCCTACCGAGGTACCTATGCCCCGCTAGCATCGGCCTCCACCGCCTTCGCGACCAAGGGCCAAGGCAAGGCTACTCCGCTCTCTCCTGGACTCTGCACCGCTTCTCTCTCTTCGCTTCGGGCCTTACCTTCCCCATCAAACAGGCCCATTCCTTTCTGAGGACTCGCCGAACGGTCCAGCAGCAAATACGAATATAATCTTTCCTCCGCCTTTTTCCCTCTCGCCTTGCTCGCGACTCTTTCGAGCAATGTCCTCTTCCAATTCAGCATCGCCGTCCTCCAACAGTTACCTCGAGCAGACGGCGTCTATGCTCAGTACTGTTGGCGCGTACATGCGGCTACCAGCCATAGCCTCGACGGTATGGCCATTCCCGCCTCCTCGTCCTACGGGCTACCCATCTTCTCACACCGATATTTTAACCTTCCTGTCTGCAACCCCTCCTCTTGGGCCTGAGCCCGAGGTCGTGCCTCGATTGCCTCGCCTCGCTAGTGCTGCATGCTAACTCGTCTTCTCTTACCTAGGGTATCGCAGCTGTCTTGACTAGCCTCCTCTACTTCAAGCAAAAGTAGGTCCCTCCACCCCCAAATGTCCATGTGACGCTTCCTCATCCCACCCTCAGCGAACCAACCGACTGACTGATTGTGCTGTGCCGCTCCAGAGCTCTCATCTACCCCTCGCATATGCCCGCAAACTCTCGAACCGATGTCCCAAGACCCTCACAGTATGGCATCAAGGATTTCGAAGAACTCGTCATCCCCACAAACGATGGCGAGAAGCTGTCGGCTTTCTACATCCGCGGCCCGCGCGATGGGAAGAACTCCAATGTCACCATCCTGATGTTCCATGGTAACGCGGGTAACATTGGCCACCGCTTGCCAATCGCCCGCATGCTTATCAACTTTATCGGCTGCAACGTTTTCATGCTCGAGTACCGCGGCTACGGCCTATCAACAGGAGAACCTGACGAATCCGGCCTCTTCCTAGACGCCCAAACCGCCCTCAACTACCTCCGATCTCGCGCAGAGACGAGCAACCATAAGCTGATTGTTTACGGACAGAGCTTGGGCGGCGCTGTCAGCATCAAGCTGGTGTCGAAGAACCAAAAGGATGGGGATATTGCTGGTCTGATCTTGGAGAACACCTTCCTCTCCATGCGCAAGCTTATCCCTTCTGTGTTGCCACCAGCAAAGTACTTGACGCTTCTCTGCCACCAAGTCTGGCCAAGCGAATCAATCATCTCTAGCATCACATCCGTGCCGATCCTGTTTCTTTCTGGTCTCCAGGACGAAATCGTACCGTAAGTGTCATGCAACCCTTTCTTCCTGCTTCTTCTCCTACACCATATGATGATCGCAAGTCACCACCCACAAAATATGAGTCCTTCGGGACGCTTGATTTGAATTTTTACGACATAGAGTCTGATATTGGTTTTCTCTACACCGGCTTTTTTCGCGTGTCTCACATGTTGCCTCTTGTAGACTAACACATGTCTTAGACCCCGTCACATGCGCCAACTTTACGAACTCTCTGCCGCGCCCTCTAAAATTTGGAAGCCCTTGCCCGCAGGCGACCACAACTCGAGTGTTTTGGAAGAGGGTTACTTCGAAGCCATCTCGGACTTTCTTGGCAATGTCGCCGGCGTGACAAGCAAGGAGGAGAAGCAGCGCCTCTAGAAGGACCTCTTGCTAACCGAGAAACGGTTCCAACAGCACGTGGCTCACATACTGGAGGCAGAGGCGGACCGCCAGTCCGTCTTCACTGGCGTGTCTCGCCGGCTCCACTGCAGGAGTCCATCCATGAAGGATAATGAGTTGATGTAATGCCCACCCCTTTATCGCGACCTGTGAAGGTGCCGATCACCTGGATACACTGCGGCAGCAAAAAGGAGGCATGGAACGGAGAAAACAGTACGTGGCGGCGGGTGATCTTCCTCTCTCAACACACCTTTTTTGGTCCTTCAAAGAATGATACCCCCCGCTCCCCATGACGGACCGGGATGCGACAGCATATCTTAGACGCAACATAAACATAATGAAGCAATGAGTACGAGCAGCCATGCAAAACCAGTCAAAATGTGAGATATGAAGTGAGGCGCCGGTGACATGCTGACCTGAACGGGGTATGGCCATGTCTCTCACCGTTAACAGGGGCTTGAGAACAAGGGATGCCAGGCGATGTAATTACTGTTCAGCAGACAACCTTGGTCCCCATGAGCAGCAGTGGGCTCTATCTACACAGTACAATGACAGGCCTCGAACTTCATTCCGTCCCATCTCCTTCCTGTCAATCTGCCGTCAGGCATCTGACAGTCAATACCCAAAACTGGTTCGCCGCGGAAGTGGGCGCGTCGATCTGGCGGAATGATGCTCAACGGCAGGAGGTTATCACGATCGTCCGGAGCCGGGGTCAACCTTGCGCCCCGTCCATCCGCACCGGACAAGTACGGAGCAGATAGCCAGTCCCAAGCGGGGATATGCCCATGACACCTTTTCCTGCCGGCGACGAGCCAGACTTTATTGGAATTTGGGGACAACATACGGGGACAGGATAGGACGTACCCGGGTTGGGGATGCTTGGGGTTCCGGGGCGGGGCTTGTTCGTCTATCCCGTTTTCCCCGTCGCTCGCGTATAGAGCTTGTGGGTTTTATGCATGTGTTTCTCTGACGTGGCAGAGAGCTGGACGGTTGGCGCTTGCTCTTTACTTTGATGTGAGGGATGTGAGATGTCGCGGGGGTCATGGGGGAAAGGGAATGAAGGAGAGAAAGGATCCTTCTTGGCTTGTCACGATGGACGAATGCAGAGAAGGGGAGGGGATGCTCAGTTGTTGTAAATGATGATAATCGCATCACGCCCTGCTCTGATATCACGATGCTCTTCATTTTGATGCCGTATCTTTCCGCTTGAGTTCTGATATTCCGTTTTTCTGTATTTCACGTTTTTCTTTTCAATAATACTATATCATCCTGTTGTTGGGACCTCCCATCCCATCCGTCTATACCTCGTAACAAATCTTGGCCTTTCCGTCATCGACTTCCCCGTTGTGTAGATACATCGCCAACACCACAAAGGAGGTGTGGAGAAGCAAGGCGAGCAACGCTGCAAGCTCCGCCGCGCCAGGGCACCTCCCTGCTTGCATTCAAGATCGAGAGAGTCAAGAAGCTAACAACTTCCTTGGCCGAAGCAAGAGAAGCTTGTGAGGCGCCGCGGCGCGCCTCACTCATCGCTCTCGGCGGCCGCCTCCCAGTCATCGGCGACAGAGTCCTCGACGACCTTCTTGCGCGCCAGCTTGGAGAAGCTGACGAAGCCGCTGGCGGGACGCGCGTCGGCGGCGGGCTTGGGCGCAATGGTCCTACGCTGTGCCGCGGCGCGGCCGACGACGGCGTTCCAACCGCCGCTGCTGCCGTTCGCCGACGTTCCCTCGCGGCGGAGGACGTTGAGGTTCGCGTCGGCGTGGACCATTGTCACGGCTGCAGCGATGCCGTCCTTGGTTACGGTCCGCGCGATGAGGGGTTTCAGGGACGCGAGAGAGGACTCGATGGCCGAGGGGGTAGTGCCCCAGGAGGTGACGGGGACCGCGCGGATGAGGATTTCCTCTGACGGGAGGAAGGCGGTAGTGAAGGAAAGGGTGTTATAGGCCTTGAGATGGTTGGCGAGGGCGGACTCGACCTCGTCAATGGTCAGGCCGAAGCGCGGAGCCGAGAGGAGTAGGGCGTTGAAGGGCTCTGGTGCCGACGCTGCGGCGGCCGCCGAAGACGATGCTGCAGCTGCGGCTGCTGCTGTCTTGGCTGCGTCGGTGCGGATCTTGACGCACTGAGCCAGTGTCTTCTTCGGTGCGGCGACGAAGCGCGGTGTCTTGAAGATGGAGACGTGACGGTGCGGCTCTGGGTCCTGGCTCTCCGAGTCGAAGCCGAAATCCTCGGCAAGAGCGTGCAAGAAGGCGCGCTGGAACGAGGGCATAGGCTTGAAGCGCAGACGCTTCTCGGAGGCTTCCGAGGCGAAGACGCGGAACTCGCGCTCCTGGTTCTGGGCCCAGGTGTGAGAGAGCTCACGGAAGAGCTTGAGCGTCGTGTCCGAGTAGGGAATGTGGTCGTCGTTATGATCCGGATCGACATTGAGGGCGACAGCAAGGCGCTGGTTGCGCTGGAGGCGAAGGCACTCGTCGTCGCACTTCAGGATGTCGCGATCCGGAGTTGGGTTGGTCTTGGTAGCCATACACTTCACCTCCTTCTTGCGGTGCTGACAGTCACAAGTGACAAAGGTCTTGCTCTGGCATGGCCGGTCTTCCTTGCATGGATAGGGGGCGTGGCATGAGTCCTGGCACGAGTGGTCGCAGGATTTGCGAGTCTTGCCGCAGGATTGGGCGCAATGAGAGCCAGGAATATCAGCGTCTTCGCATTCCCCAGGACGGTGACACTCCTTCCTACATGTGTGAGTTCTGCCATCTAGTCAGCACATGCGATGGATGCTGTATTAGAGTCAATATCACTTACCCGCACTTGAGCTTCTTCCCACACGGCAGACCACAACGAGCCTCCTCCAGCCAGCAAGGCCGGTTCTTCATCCTCTGCTTGCCGCAGATGCACGCTTTCTCTACCAAGAAAGGACACTTGGGACAATCGACATCGTCGGGGTGGCAGTTATGCTTCACCGTGGGGTGGCCGCAAGGAGGTGCTCTTCTGCAGTCGAATCGGCATTCAGGAGGCCTGGTCCCGCACGGCTGTGGAGGTTGCAGGACAGTCCTGCCGCAGGCACAGCTGATCTCCTCGAAGACGGCTTCGAGGCAGCTTGGGCAGGGCCCAGCATGACAGATTTGCGAACACTGGTGAGTTCCACACTTCAGTGTCCTACCGCACACGCGAAGGCAGATGTGTTCCGCCTCAACCTCGTCCGGAGCCTGCTGCTGTCTATGCTTCCTCTTGGCGGCCTGTCTCTCCATTGCCTTCTTCTCCCCAGGACAGCAGCGCTCTCCACACTTGTGACGACTGCAGTTCAGCTGGGCCTGGCAGACCTTGAAACACATTGGAGTTGCAATCTCTCCCTGATGGCAGAGGGTCTTGCTCACAATGCGGGTGCATCGACAAGAAATATCCTGCTTCTGGAAGCATGTGTTACAAGGACCGGTATGGCACGTGTCCATGCATTGGTGGCCGCAAGAAAGAATCTTGTCGCATGTCTTCTTGCAGTGAGGGATCTTGTCCTGACAAGACTGTCTTGGTTGTTCGAGAAGCTCTTCCAACGGTGTCTTGCCACAGGGGCAGTGAACAATAACATCTGGAGCCGACGGGCAGTGTGCCGGCACTTCGTCCTGCGCATGACAGGTCTTCTCACAATCGTGCAAACCACAGTCGTATTTCCTCCCACAAGTCGCTCCGCAGTCAAATGAGCCGTCGAACCAGCTATCCTCAGAAACATCCTCGGAATCCGAGCTGGAAACTTGGCCATAGTTGAATGACATCTGAAGGTCGTCGCGGCGATCGCAGGGAATCTCCTTGTGCTCTTTGCCACAGTAGCATCTTGCCTGTACAGGAATCTCGCAGCTACCACACAGGCCAGAGTGGCAAGGAGTAGCGCAGAAGTGCTCGCCGCAAGGTAGCAAGTCTCCGCAAATCTCTTTGCAACTCCATCCGTTTCCATAGTCCGTCTCGGTGCAACGCTTCGTCACTTCGTGTTTGCCACAGAAGCAAGACTGTGTTGGGCCCATGAGGGTGCATGGCGGGCATGGGCCGGCGTGGCATTCGAGAGGGCATGGATGCGGGCATGTTGCTCTGGGCTTTGAGCAAGTCTGTCCGCAAGAGTGAGGAGGAAGACCAGGAACATTTCGAGGGTTGATGTCCTTCCCGCACCAACAGTGGTAAGCACTCGGCTCCTCAGTCAAACTAGAATTGCAGCCGGGGCAGCGCCAAGAGCGCGTGTCGTCGTCCTTCTTCAGTTGGCTCGTGAACCACTTCTTGACGCAAGACAAATGTAGCACCGTCCAGCACAGCCCGCAGGACCATACGCGAGATGGCCGCAATACTTCACTGGAGCAAATGACACACTCGTACTGGCCATTGCTGATGTCCTCATGGATGCGCGTGGGTAAATCTGCGGCTACAGATTTTGGTGCCAGTGGATACTGAGGCTTCTTTTGCTTCGGCGCAGGTTGTTTTCTGGTGATATCAGTCAGCCCAAGTTTCAGGATTTGGTGAGAATGAACATACCCTCTGTGGACAACAGGCTGCCCAGGAACGAAGTCCGGGGCATCCGCACTCAGCCCCTGTGCATCCGACGCATTTGAATCCGCGGCAGTCGTAAGGCTGCCTCCAAATGTTCGCTGAGTTCCTGATACCGTACCACCGCGGACCGCTCCACCTCGCCGGCCGCCCCGATTACCGCCGCGGCCACGGCCTCTCCTCCCTGAGCTAGTTGGCTCTGATTCGGGTGCATTTTCTGTCGAGGCTTCGGGAGCCGGTGCTGGCTGTGCTTGGTTCCGGGGCTGGGGGTTGGCATTCCTGCCGCCACCTCGCCGGCCGCCACGGCCGTTGCCTCCTTCTCCTCTCCCTCTCCCTGATCTGCCTCGACGGCTTGGCTGAGAACCTCCTCCGGCTGACGAGCCCGCTTGAGTCTGCGTCTGGGTTTGGGTCTGTGTTGCACCAGCGTCCGACATGTCTGGTAATCTAACTAGGGTGATGATATGATGAGGAGTTGATGAAATTGTGATTGCGCTTTTTGAAATACAGCGTCTTCGAACAGGTGCTGCCAGATTAGGCAACGAAAGTGAATCAAGAGGCCTCGCACTCTCGCAAGAAAAGGAGAACTTGAAAGGAATGAAAGTGAACAAAGATCTAGGATCCCACTTCCACTCAGTACCCGGACCTGGGGAGGCGACTTTAAAAGAGAATCCGCAGCAGAGAAAGGGCAAGACTCCGTTCGAGTGAAGTCGCTGGGGCGGACTTAAGCGTTCGGATGGGTGGACCCGCTAAAATATTGGGAGAAGGTCCCTTCCGGGCTTGGAGCCGACAGGTGTGGCGAGACTGCCACTCTTCGTCCGCTGTAAGGCTGACAAAACAAGCAGGAGGTCACCACCTACCGTACCGTAGGCAAAGCCCGGGCCAGTCACTATGAGTCACCATCAATCGTTCCTGCGGCTCGGCTCTGCCACCAGCTAAGACAAATCTTAAGTTTGACTCAGTGATTGATTATATTGTGCAGACTGCGGTCATGTTTTGTGCAGCTTTAGACCGCTTTGGGATATGCACCGCTATCTTCACGCTGGTTGAAGATCTTATTTCGTTGCAAGGCAAATGGCCTCAGTGGATACGGTGCATACCTACCTCTGCACCTTACATCTTGCACCTCACAAGTCGAACTTGAGTTGATACTTGTCTGGTTGCTCACTTGTCAAATGTAGAATTCTCAAGACACAGCGGTTCTCGAGACTTCGACAGTTCTCGGAGCGGGCTCACAGATCTAGATTATCTTTACTTTTTGTGTGTCGTCGCTCTGTTAAACTCTCTGGACAACGGCGCTCGCAAAGCCCTTGATAGGTCTGTAAAACCTCCCAAAATCTCAACAGCGTCGATGGTTTAGTGGTAAAATTCTCCGTTGCCATACAGCAGCGTCGGGGAGCCGGGGGTTCGATTCCCCCTCGACGCATCCTTTTGTTTTTGACCCATCTAGTCAGGTCAAAAGAGAGCTTGCTATTTTGTCATTAAGAGTCATGTTTATCGACCCTTGCCAGTAATCTCTGTTTGGAGAGGCTGGTTAGCCGTATTTTCTTGATACATGGGTGAGTGAGAAGGCAAACATCATCATGATGTTGATGAACCACGTTTGCAGCTTCCACCAGCTCCGCGTCTACTAGATCTGATTTCTGCTTCAATCCAGGATGCTACGCTTGAGCGGTACGTTGTTCGATACTTAAGGCGTGTGAATGGCGTGGTCAGTATTGACATGGTCCTACTCGGTCAGTCGAAAACGTTCCGATGTCCTCAGTCGACTTAGATTATGACTGAAGAATTTACTAAATTTGAGGTGTCCAATGGAGTAGGCTTGTTCTCAGAGCCAGCAGTGAGCAGTAAATCAGGTGGCGCGTGGAAAGAAGAGCGTGTCCTGTCCATGTGTGCAGCACGCAAGAAACTTCACAAGACGGGACATAACTACAGACCATTATCAACTCTCACAATCGAAACCGCCTGACCGATGGGATGGATCTAGAATCTGGCAAACTCAACAGCACGACGGAATGGGAGGGGCAGATCGGGGGCCCAGACCTGTCGCTATCTCCGTGCATCACGACGAAATCAGGTGAAGACTCCGGTCCCCTTGGCGCCCTCGCTTCTGGGGTTGCGCGGAGAGCCAGTTCTCTGATTCGCCTGTGCCTTGGTCCATATCCACATGAGAATCCCTGTAAGTGAGCAGTGAAGGCAGCATCGCCGTCGACGTGCATGATGCAGGTTGGTTTGCTCTGTTGGTTTGGGGAGTTCCAAAGCCAAAGAGGAAGATTGGAAATGATTGACCTTTCAGGCGTCTGTCCTTCGTCACAAACCCCCCAAGTAATTCTGTTCTCAACACTTCATCTATTTATACGGGTAATACATTTTTAAACGAATATTCGTTAGGAGACCACCGGACGGTTCCTGATTGATCTTGCAATATTTAGCGTCGCCGATGCTGCAGTATACAAGCAACTCCGCATCTCACATCATCCTTCTTGCTCAGTCTCCCGGGCACTCGCGATGTGGGAGACATATCAGGTCATCGCTGCCGATAATGGGGTATGGACTCCTCTCCATTGGTCTCATAAGAGGTGTAAGACTGACGCAGAAGGGCAGCAAATAGACGAACGCTCTGAAATTGAGGTTAGCCTTGGCACATCGCCACACCCAAAGGCATGATTTTAATGGCATCGCAGAGCATAGCCTCATCTAGTATGAGCATCAGCCAATCGATCCTAGGATACCGAATCGAGAATGGCAGGACTTACCACCGATATAAAGATGGCAGTAAGCTAGCTTCCGTGTCTTCACATAGCACAATGGTGTATCAGCTCCCCGGTTGATAACTATGTGATCAGAATATGTACTCCCAAATGATGAGATAGAGAGCGACAGACTAGGTTTGCTTGACGGCTCATTCCTTTTCTGCAATCGCTTAACATACGAATTAGACATGCAGCACGAGATATTCACATATACAATCGGCGATAAACTGGGACGGGCCCCGCCATGCGACGAAGATGCCAAGGTCGGGCGTGTCCTCGACGTGGGGACTGGCACCGGCATATGGGCCATCGACTTTGGCGAATTTCATCCTGAAGCTGAGGTATTTTAACCATTCATACATCTCTCATGGCCGGCTCCTTACCCAGACGCTGCAATCAGGTCTATGGTGTAGATCTTTCGCCCAACCAGCCAGAATAGTAAGAGAGCCAGCGGGTGTCAGATGACGGCGTCTCGTTGATACTGACATGTCCTTCGAATACAGTGTGCCGGAAAATGTGAGGTTTGAGATCGACGACGTGGACGAAGACTGGACATACTCAAAACCATTCGATTATATCCACAGTCGGTTCATGACAGGTGCCATTAACAACTGGAGAAAGTTTTTCGAATCCGCTTACGAGTAAGATTTCGCTCTCTTTTGCCCTTCTTCATTCCCTCGAGAACAGCGATGAGTAATGACAGCCTTCGCGTTGCTGAATAGCCATCTTAACCCCGGCGGGTGGTTCGAGGTCCAAGATGCCGACATCAACCCTCAGTCCGACGACGGCACCTTTCCAAAGGACTGCGCATTAGCAGAATACGTACAACTCCTCCAATCTGGCGCCGAAGCCGCTGGCTGTTCCTACGTTGATATACCAGCGCTAGCGGGTCTCATGACCGAGGTTGGTTTCGTGGACGTCTCGATTCAGATGTACAAGTGGCCCATCAATGGGTGGCCAAAAGAAGATAGGTAAGTATAATGCACAAACGACGGCCCCAAAGCATCCATCTTTCACTAGCAAATGGACCTTTGTTAGGGCTCGAGTACTAAGGACGATATCAGGTATAAGAAATTAGGCCTCTGGACACAGGAGAACTTCAGCAGTGCTCTCCAGGGGTTATGTATGGCTCTTTTTACGCGCGTCCTTGGGTGGTCGAGAGCGAGGGTCGAGGGCTTCCTTATTAATGTGCGCCATGATGTGAGGAATAGGGATTTCCACGCTTACTTTCGAATGTGAGTTGCGAGCCAGCCCTCATGGTAGCCACTTTACGTCAGCTCACTAACGATTGTTTGCAAGATACTGCATCATAGGTCGAAAGCCGTAGAAGGGTGAATTAGAACACATCTGTTTGGATAGATATCACCAGCAAGAAGAAGACTGTGTGTATAGGAGGTATTACATTTACACAGCCGCAAGGCAAGACTTAACATTTCTTTCATGCATTCAAGATAAACATTCTGCTTGCCTCATCTTCATGACTACAGTTCCAAAGACGTGAAAAAGTAGGCTACTGTGCGCCACAGAATTCCTGAAAGTTACGAATCTCGACACCTAGACTTTAGGAAAGATTGGTGTACTAATGGTCCGTTGACTCAAGATCAGAGGCATGCGTCGCAATATGCGCAAACCAATACCGCAATGTCCCTAGAATACAACTTTTACCTGACAAAGTACCGAATCCCATGCGAATGGCTTTAATCTGAAAGCCGGCAATTGGACAGTGGGTTCAGAAAGGTTCGTTTGTAGCGAAAACAAGACTTGATTCCAATGACTTGCTGGAGGTGTTGGGAGTATATCCCGAGTTGTGTCCAGAGACAATATACATCAATGTGGCCCCCACGCGAAATGAACTTTGGCAATCGACTTGAACTTGCCTCAGCAATCATCGGAGGAGTTTCCCTCAGTAGACAGAGCTTCTCGTTTGGGTGCCCATGTTTATCTCAAATGCAGGCTGGTGGATTGGTGACTGTCCGGGCCGGGGGCCTCAGACGGGGCATCTGATCTGGTTGGCAAGGGGTCCGGGGAGCGCGGGATGTGTTCGTCCTCCTTCCACAAATTGCTTCCCGAGCAATCGCAAAAGTTGCGGCGGGTACAGAAACCGTCATTTCTCATTCGCTTGAGCGCTTTTGAGCTCCACATTGTGACGCGAAAGCAGGGGAAAGAGACATCTTGCCAGTCGCTGTTGGTTGCATGTCTTCAGGCCAAGGAAAGAGGGGTCGCAGATGCAGAGTTGACCGGTCAGGTCTCTCGTCACAAAAAGCAGAGACCTCCCCGTCAGGGTTTTATCTTGCTTTCCGGGGTTCTTTTTTCTCTTTCATAGCCGGCGCCGAATTCAAGCGTTCACTCAAGTCTTTTGCCTCATTGTTGGGCCCAGAAACAAGCAATTAAAGAGATAGAACGTAGGCCCTTACGCCCACCGGAACCAACAAACCCTGTTACGGGACAGACTTTACGACCGATCACGACGCGACAATGGCTGAAGTTGACCACGAAGTCGAAATCGCCGCTGAGGTACTTCTTGGATTGTCCAATTCATGTGGTAGAGAAACTTAAATTCCTATAGGAATCCGATCACAGTGGATCTGAAATCGGTGAGGTACGTTGGATCTTAGGGCCCACAAGAACCATGCCTCCAGCCAGCATGATCGAGACAAGAGCGCGAAGAGTTTTGGTCTTTGAACTAATGCAATTCAATCGCATAGAGCGTGGCATCTTCGACGACCAGTCTCAGTGCCTCCATTCTTGAATACCGGATTGAGAATGGCCGGACATATCACCGATACAAGGACGGAAGTGAGTTTAAACTTGCCAGATGACGAGACCCGAGGACTGAATGTACTGACCAATCTTTATCTAAACAGAGTATGGCATGCCTAACGACGAAACGGAGGCGGAACGGCTAGGTACGCTGCAGTGTTGCAAAGTTCCACTGCCGATTTGCTCTTTCTAACAGGTTGGTCTAGACTTCCAGCATGATATTTGCGTCTACACGTTCGACGACAGACTTGGAATGGCGCCGCCATGCGATGATACCGCAAAGGTCGGGCGAGTGCTTGACATTGGAGCTGGAACTGGAAGCTGGGCTATGGATTTCGGTGACTTACACCCTGAGTCCGAGGTACGCTGCAGCATGACCCATGTTTACCTCAGTGAAGCGGGAAACAGCTTGAGATCTAACTTAATATTCAGGTATTGGGCGTTGACCTCTCGCCTGTAAGGGCGGATTTGTATGAGATCTCCTCGCTCTAAGCACATCAATTCTTTTTTAAAGCTAATGAAATGGTTACAGCGTACCTCCGAACGTCAGGTTCGAGGTTGACGATGTCGAGGAAGAGTGGACTTATTCTCAGCCTTTTGAGTATATCCACAGCCGATTTATGACCGCAGCTATTGACGACTGGGATGTATTTATCAAGAGATGCTACGAGTGAGTTACGCAATTAGAGCTGTACTTTCTTTTGAGCTCCCTGTACTGATTGAAGTAGCAATCTTACCTCTGGTGGATACCTGGAACTTCAAGAAGCCGAGGTCATGCCCAAGTCTGACGACGACCTGTTGCCCAAAGACTCTTCAATTGTCAAATACGTCAATATGTTGCATGAGGCTTCCGAAATTACGGGTCGCAAATTTATTGAGGCGCCTCCGCTGAAGAACAAGATGATTGAGGCTGGCTTCGTCGACGTTGAGCTCCGCGTCTTCAAGTGGCCTCACAACACCTGGCCCAAGGATGAGAGGTACCCTACTCACTGAAGCAGTGTGAACACACATGAGAAAAGAAGAACAAGGCTAATAGAACCGACTAGGTATAAGAAGCTCGGCTTATGGACGCAGGAGAACTTCGGCTCTGCGCTCGAAGCCTTGTGCATGGCCGCCTTCACCCGCGTGCTCGGCTGGACGCGCGACGAGGTCAACGTCTTCCTCATCGACGTTCGGAATGACCTCAAGAACAAGAGCTACCATGCGTATTGCCCGGTGTAAGTACCCTATTTTTATCATGCTGCTTCGGGGTGCTGATAAGAGAGAACAGCTACTGCATCACTGGTCGCAAGCCGGAGAAGGAAAAGACCCCGCCGGTTCCTCAGGAGGAGACGGAGGCAGAGGACGGAGCGTAATGATGATGCGAAGTCAGTGGCTCTCGGCTGCTGGCGGATTTCTGTAGTCCAGGTAAAAGAAACCTCTAGGTTGATGAGAATATGCCTCTGTCCTAGAGGCCTTTCCACGTGGAAAAATTCGGATCTCTCGCAGCAGTGATCAATGAATCGATTGATGTCAAACATACTGCGAGATTCATACCAATCATCTGCCCCGGGGCTTTCAAGGCGAAGCTACCCGCTGGCCTGACGTTGATCGGGAAGCAGCCACACGTCAACCTAGCGCCGCAACCGTGAAACGATCCAGGCATACGCATGGTGTTCGGCCAATCCTAGGTTGCTTTAAGCAGCGGCTATGAGAACCAATAGTAAGGATTCCGATACATGACTGCGCGGTAATAAGACCAACAAGGCCAAAGGCAACGCCAAGTTGGCAAACTTTACGGAGTACAAAAAGAATATTGAAGCCAGCGTAGTGCTTGCATTTGGATAGGGGGGCTGAGGCGGCAGGATGTTGGAGGAGAAGCGCGCCAAGGGTAACTTAGATGCGCCGCAGTGGCCTGCCACCAACAGCCCAGCACTGAGATGCCCTGGTCCATCTTCCGACGGTGCGTACAGAGGCCCTGTCAAGTTGAAGTAGGCAGCCGTTAAGATCCCCTCGGAAAAGCAAACTAGCTTGGCGTTAGGGTCAGTTTCTAGTAAGCTTAAAGGGGAATGTCATTTCAAGCATTCGTGAAAGAGGAGAAAGGAGGAGACTCAAGATGAAGCTAGAACAAATATTGGACTAGGAAGCTTTTGGTGAACCGACACTGGGAACCGGTCCCCCGGCTCAGCCAACCCACTCCCTGGGGTTACGGGTGCCCAGAAAGGTAGAAGCTCTAGCGGTTTGGCCCAGCGTGCTGGCTTCTCATGCCCCCCGGCGTGTCCCCGCTTTTCCGTGCGGTGCTGCGGTGCAAAGGCCCGGCGAAGTTCGCTGCGGCACTGCCACTTCCTGCTTTTCTCCACCCGAAAATAAGCAGAGAACCTGCCAAACTTCTACCGCCGTTTCTAAACTTAGAACCTTTTGGCGGTAGGCAGGATGCAGACACGGCCACACTATGGACACTACTACGTCTGTCACCAACAAGCCTTGCCTGCCTTACCGACTATCTGGTAGATCTTGGAGGATCGTTGGGAGATTGTAATTTTATACTATCGGAACCTTGGTATTTCGAGCTCGAGGTCACGATGCTTGCTGCAACATATAACCACGGTGGTACCGTCATCGACAATGTAGGTGGGTGTTGTTACTGCACCTCTCATCCTCTAATACTCATCGACCTCGAACGAGTGTGACACTCGCTCTAGAGAGTCTAACTTGATGTCCGTCTCGATCTCATCTTGACACCAAAACCACTTACACCGACGCATCATCACCAGCAACATCACACCGACCGGCATGACTTCATCACCCTGCACGCTCGCGACGTGCGACGTCTCCGACAGCCCGTACGGCTACCGCCCAGCACTAACAGGCAGCGCCGTCTTCGCCACCGTCTCGGCCCTCTGCCTCGTCGTCAACGGCGCCGTCGCCGCCCGCTCAACACAACGACACGCAACAACCCCCTTCTCCGTCATCGTGACCCTCGCCTGCGTGCTCGAGTTGCTCGGCTGGGTGGACCGCATGGCCGGCTGGAGCGATCCGTGGGCTGTGTACCCTCTCCTGCAGAGCAAGGCTCTGCTCACCATTGCCCCCATCTTTGTGACTTCAAGGTACGTCTAAGTTCTTCTGTGGAACCGTGCCAGTCTCTACAAGAATTCTGAATCTGATTCTGATTCTCTGTTTTGCAGTATCTACGTCTGCCTCGCACCAATGGTCCGGATACTAGGCACAGAACACTCCTTCATCAAGCCAGAGCTCTACACTGCCATTCTCCTCCCGCTAGACGGCCTTGCCCTCCTCCTACAAATCGTAGGCCTCGGCATCGGCTTCCAAAACGTGCCGTACACCCTCTCACCCCAGGACTCGTACGCACCCAACGACGTGGGCGCGAAAATCGTCTTGGCTGGGCTGGCCGTCCAGTTCGCGACCCTAGTCGCCGCGGGCTTGTCCCTCGCCTTCATCCTCCTCCGCGCAGCCCGGTCCTACCACCAATACGGCTACACCACCTTCCACCGAGACGTGGGCTACGTGCCTCTGACGGGCCGCTTCCGCATCTTCGCCGGCGCGGTGCCGTCCGCCATGGTCGTCTTGTTCGGCAGGATGTGTTTCAGGGTCGCCGAGTACGCAGAGGGCTTTCGGGGCCCGCTGGCGAGGGGAGGCGGAGAGGGACTGTTTCTCGGTCTCGAGGGGTTTCTTATCGGGTACGCGCTCTTGGCGATCGTGGGGTGCCACCCAGCGTTGTTTCTAAAGGATGGGAAGATGGTTTCGAGGATCGAGTCTGAGCCGTTTGTCGGTATTGATGGTGTTGGGAGTACTGGTGGGAACGGCGATCACGAGAGGGATTTGGAGGAGCTCAGCAAGGTGTACCAGAGGCATCACGAGGAGGAGCAGAGGTTGTCGAGGTTTGAGCGTGTTTGAAGATGATACCCCCGTTTTAAAAGTAGCGTGCGTTGATAATATCTGGTTCATGATTAAGGAACCTAGTCGAATTTACAGTTTACATATTTTCACTCTGCTTTTGAATTTCTAAGACTTCCCGCTCATAATGGAAACTTGCAACATTTACCGCATGTCTTAATTATAAATCAAATGATCTGCAAACCGGCAGGAAGTCTCAGTAGCTCACGTAGGAGAATAGTTTAATCGCAGTGTCTAACATAAATGGCGGAACTGCAACTAGATTGCACACTGTGTCTCAGTAGGTTAGCGTCTACAAAGTGAGAGTCGGAAATCTTCACTCAGCATGTCAACAACAAAGTAGTTAGTCATTGCTACAATTAGTAGCTCAGTACATTTTATGAACATTTTCTACGTATAATCAAGTCTTTTGAACGAGGTTCGACAATTATGTAAGTCATCAACTGTACAAGCTTATAAACATGATGGAGCTCTAGTAAGCTCTCCAGACACGGTAGTATTGACAATGGGGTCTCGACTTCTCGGCTCGCACATACCTCGGCAACTGGGGTCAATTCCTCCATACAGAAAGTGTATCCGTCGTCTTATTCTGCAACTCGATCAACACGCATGCGGGAGGGGGCAGGTCTGACAGAACGACTTTACTCAGACCACAAAGTCCACACTTACTGGGACTTTGGGCGCTAACATGATTGGTCTCGAAACGCGATGCCCAAGATCGTCAATAGTGCTTACACGTTGAAAGATGACCGAGATCCACACCGGACGCCTCAACCGCCAAGGCAATATCACTCTGACTAAATAGACACGGAAATCCATATAAAATGCTCATTGCCATTGCGCAATGGAGCCCGTAGGAACATGAACTTTCATCTCTCTCGTAATCTACTCAGACTTGCTTTCCTCTGTTTGCATAGAAAAGTCTAGACCAAACCATAGCATCCTCCCACAATGTCCAGCAAACCCGTCATCGTACTCACCCCGGGAGCATGGCACTCGCCAGAGCACTTCCGAGACCTCCGCGACGAGCTACACACAAGAGGCTGGGAGACCCGCGGCGTGAGGCATCACTCCGTCGGCTCTGAGCCGCCGAACAAGGGCTTATACGACGACGCGGCCGCCACCGCTGCCGTGCTGCAAGAGCTCGCCGAACAAGGTCGGCAGATCGTCCTGGTCGCTCATTCATACGGCGGTCTCGCGGCGGCCGAAGGCGCAAAAGGGTTTGGGATCAAACAGAGAGCCGCGGAGGGCAAGCCTGGCGGCGTAATTACACTTATGTACCTCGCTGCGTTTGTGGGGCAGAAAGGGCAGAGCATCTTGAGCATGACGGGCAATGTGTATCCCCCGTGGACGAGAATAGAGGTAAGGAACCTTCTTCCCGGCTTCCTTCGAGAGTCTCGATGAGCTGACAACATACGTTAGGACGGCCGGATCCATATCGTGACCGCCGACGACCCCCTCTACGGAGACGTTCCTGCAGAGGCAAGGGAAAAGGCAAAGAGCTTGTTGAAGCATCATACGACCATCTCGTTCGAGGAGACAATAACGTACGAGCCCTGGCATGACATTACCTGCATGTACGTCGGCTGCGAGGACGACCAGGCGATTCCGTACTTTGCGCAGGAGCAGATGCAGCAGCTCCTGGGACCCGAGGCGACCAAGTTGAAGTTGAAGTCTTCGCACTCGCCGTTCCTTTCTGTTCTGTCTGAGACGGCTGATGCTGTTGAGCTTGCTGCGAAGAAGGGGTTGGAGGCTTTATCGGCTTAGACTACACAGTTTTGTTTCGCTGCGGTGGCATACTGTAGCTATGAGTGACGATGAATGAACTCATGTTATTCATCTCCAGTAAACCAGCGCTAAATATAGCCAGTCTGAAGACCAAAGTAGATGATATGTGATGGCGCTTGTGCCGTGCTTGTTGCAGCCTTTGATCCAATTTAGATATAAGTTTGGTTGAAGGTTCGTTATAGGTAAGATTGTCAGCGCAAAGACATCAAAATCATCTCCAAATGCATTCAACGCATGGGCTTCTTCATACGCGGCTATCAAACCCAGCAATGCCATTGTACGATTGTCGTCTCAACTTTACTCTAACACGTGGGAATTCATGTATCACTTTAATCAACTAAATGCCAATTTCATTAACACGTGTATTTCTGAAAGGGCAATAATTTGAGTGGCATGGAGGTTGTTGCCTAGGTTAGGTAACTGAACGAGAGGGCACAATATCTCTCACACAATATATGAGCGTAATGTCCTGCACCCTAAGAGACTAGCTGAACCGGCATGCAGAGAGCAGTAGGCATCCATCAAAAAGGTGAGCGATATCCGCGGTGCTTGAGAGATAGATGCCCACGAATGGTCGCCTAAAGAAGACGAGTTCCCCAAAATGGGTTGCTGAGATGAGGTAAGGTTGCCGGGATGCACCCCGCCGTGAAACCCCCACCAAAACCCTTTCCAAGGCACCAGCCTGAGTGCACCTTGACGTAGCCAGCCAAGCAACAGGAACAGCCGGGATCCCGTGTAGTAAACAAAAGCAGGAAAGCAATCAGCCGAAGCATAGGAAGGTATGTAATTACAAGACTGACTACACTTCGACTTACCTTACTTCACCGAAAGACCCCATTCTCACGCATCACCACCGCAGAAGACTGAACCCCATTCATCGGATATAACTACAAACTTGAATCTTTCACCCCGCCGCTACTCAAAACTTCATCAGCACCACCTCACCAACAGACAACCATGGCGCCCCCCTCCCAGCTCACCGTCGCGACCCTCTCCGTCACCAGACTCCTCAAGGAGGAGATCTCGTACGAGAAGGAACTCATCCAGCAAAGAGGCAAGGTCACGACTCTGGAGAATGAGATCAAGGAAGGCAAGCCCGATGAGGACGGAAACCGGGAGTACATGCTCAAGCAGCTGGTAGGTTTTCCCATCCGTCACTTACCATTACCGCTGGAGTTCTCGCTCCTCCGAAGTATCAGTGATTCGTTTTTGCGTGTAACACCCCGGCTGACTGACTTTGGGGGGACTAGAAACTCGCGGTGGAGGAGACGCAAAAGGTGTTCCCCGAGCTGAGAACCCGCGTCGAGGACGCGACCGTCAAGCTGGAGGAGCAGATTGCTCTGGCTGAGAGCGGCGGTGCGTCGCCTGAGGAGCTGGAGACGGCGAGACTTGCGCTCGCAAAGGGCAAGGAGGAGAAGACGTATCTCAAAGACGACGTCTCTGCTTAGAGTTATGATTGTTTCTTTTTCCCTGCATTCTGATATCAAAGATGAGAAGAGGTTCGGGATTGCGTTGTGTTAAGGACAGGCGAGCGTCAGAGGCAAGACAGCTACCTAATTTAATGGGTATCTCAATTGAGGGACTATTCTAGGATCCTGCGAAGCACTTGATTTGCTTAGCTGTCCACCTCCATGCTCTCCGGTGCGTCCACTGTGATTTGAGGCGTATCGCCTCCCGAAGTAAGTTGGGTATCATGGCGGTCATCCATCTCAACGTCCTCTCCCTCTTCAATCTCGCCCTCATCATCATCTTGAGGCTGAGGAGTGCCATTCTGACTCGGGACGGCGCTGCCAGATCGCGAAAAGCCGCCCAGGCCACTCGCTCGAGGCTTGAGACCCTCAGATTGATCCTCCGACTGACCCTCGTGCGCCGACGCCGGTCTCGGCACGGCACCGCTGTCTGGGTGCGGCGTGACGTTGCCGCTAGAGACGTGCCGAGGCGTGTTGCCCCCTCTAGAAGCGTCGCCGTCCTCCTCGCCGTCTTCGTTCATGCCCTCCCGTCTCTCGACCTCCTCCTTCTCGTCGCGGATCTGTCTGCGCAGTTGCATGCCTTCATCCATAATTTTGCTGAACTGATCGCGTCGCTCCCGCCACGTCACCGCATAGGTCTCACTTTCCTTCTCCAGGTCGCGAATCTCCTCCTCGAGCTTCTTCAGGTTCGACTCCTGCTCCCCGCGCGGCCGCAGGCCCTTAGCCATGAGCGCGTTGGCGAGCTTGTCATACTCCTTACGTTGGGCAAGCGTCGCCCTGGCGCCATCCAGCTGTTCGCGCAGCCGCACGTTGTTGTCTCGGACGTTTTGGCATTCCTCGAGAATGCGTTGCTGGTCAGCTTTGTAGCGTTCGCGCTCGCGTACATTCGCATCAAGGAGGAATTGCAGGCGGGCAATACTGCTATCGAATGCGGCGAAGTCGAGGGTGAGATCGTCTTTGATCTGATCAATCTCTCGCAGGGTTTGAGCGGTCTTGGTCTCCTCCTTCACTTCAGTATCGACGTCATTGTCGCCGTTTGCGCCCTCGGGCGGAGGGGTAGGTTGCTGTTTCGAGTGGGCATTTACAATCGTCGAGATGGATGTGAGCCGCTTGGTGATGCGCTTGAAGGGCTTCTCCTCGATGTTGACCAGTCGCGTTTTGTGCAACTCCTGCTCCTCCTTATCATCCAGAAGACCCCAAGTTGACGCCATTTCGCGGGATTGAACTAAGGAAAGCTGTACTGTGTCGCTTGTCGAATTGTAAAAGCTAGATGAGCTTCGACCCTGGGGCTGTGCTGTAGGAGGTCGATTCCTCGCTGGTCCTGCCAATCAGCTCAAGAACAATAAAGCCGTAGTTCTTCTGAGCTGAGTGTTGCAAGATAGTGCGATTGATGTGAGCGACAAATCGGATACCACAGTTGACGATGATGAAAATGCAGGACTGAACTCAAAAGGAGCAGCTGTAGAGGAAAAGAAGCTCCAGGTCGTGCACCTTTCTTCTTTCACAGCCTTGCAGTAGCAGGCCAGCAGCCACACATGCCTTGCTTAGCGCAGATTGGTCAGCTACCTCTCGAGCCTTAAGCGCTGTGAAGTGGGTCACTGTCCCCTCTACCTGCCCAAGACAAGGAAACTCCGATCGCACTGTCAAAGCGTCTACCTTCCCAACATTCGGTGATCTCATCTTCGCAAAAACACACCAACTCCCTCAGGCGCAACAGCATTTCTTTGGTTGCAAAGCTCAGAAACACCACAACAAAAAGACAGTACAACTCTGCAAAACTAGGACATGCCATCTCAGGAAGAACAAGAACTGCTGGCCAGAATCGGCCAGCTTGCGGGTACGTAGTGCTTTTTCTGTAACCAGACACATGTGACAAGAGCGCGTATTCTCTAACGTAGTGGCAAACAGGCAAGATCAACCTTCACAAGGCCCAGCAAGCTGGCGTTCAATCGGTCCCAAGCAGCCAGGCTTCCTATCTTCGTCGTATGTTTAATCTTGAGACCGATAAAATCATCCTGCGCTTACACATCACAGACAACACTCACCGACATGGCGCCTTCCCTCACAAGCATCGAGTCCAGCCGTACCCCTCCACCCGAGGAGGCCCGACAGGTTTTCGGCATCGGTCCTTGGTGGTAAACAAAGATGGAACCCAAACACCTCCTTCCGATGCGTCGTCTCCGGCTGAGGGTTCTGTCTCGACCACTTCCTCAGGCGCTTGGATCTCGAAGAACACCCGCGGTCAGAGGTCGCTGATCAACTCGGCCGTTTATGACAAGACCAATGAAGCACATGTTAAGGCCATTGAGGCGTCGCGCCAACAGAAGATTCGTCAGCAGGACGCGCGCGAGCAACAACAGCTCGCCAGCCATTTCCAACGCTACAGCGGCAATGCAAGCGCACCGCATACTCCTACTAACCCGACAGCGACAGGTAATCACGAGATAGAGATTAAAGGCATTCGCTTCCGTGTCGCGAACAGCGGCAGCAAGCTCATCAAGGTGTCGGGTGCGTTACGACTACAGCCTTGCACAGCGGAGCAAACTTACAATCGTACAGGAGATCTACACCCAGTCAACGCTACCCCCAAAGTCGCCTTCGTTGGGGGTGTCAAATTTCATCGAAGCAAGACCGGTAATCTTTACCGTGACGGTGTGCTCAAAGCTCAACGGTATGAACCCTTCCCTCCTGGCCGACAATTGCTAACTTGAGTCGCTCCCCCAGCCAAACTGGCGTCAAAAAGGTCGACGTGCCTTGCAGCATGTTTTCGCTGACTGGTATTTTACTCACAATCTTATTCGATTGCCCACGCAATATCCGATCCGACAGATTTGGATGATTTCTTGCTCAAGTGGGTATGATATACCGGACTCCACTAACCACCATCATTTCATTTTAGGTTCATGTGCCAAGGGACCATCTTGTCGATACAAGCACGATGCTACGAAAGTTGCCATTTGCCGTGAGATGCTGCACAAGGGAACCTGCGCCAGTGGGGATTCTTGCGATCTGTCCCATGACTTGACGCCCCAGCGCATTCCGACTTGCGTTCACTTCGTCAAGGGCAATTGTGCCAACTCTACTTGTCCCTATGCTCATTCTAGTGTATCCTCAGGTGCTCTGGTCTGCCGTTCCTTTGGGATGTACGGCTACTGCGACAAGGGAGACGAATGCGAAGAGCGACACGTCTTCGAGTGCCCCGACTTCAGCAACACGGGCAAGTGTAAAACCAGGGGCTGCAAGCTCCTTCACCGCGAGAGGGCAAGCGTCCTTCGAAAACGGGCGGACGGTGACGAGATGGAGGATTTGTCGAGCGATGACGAGCCGGTCGACAGCGACGACGTGGACTCAGACGAAGTGGAGGAGTTTATCACCGATGGTGCTGGTGATGATACTGACTTCAAGGTTCAGAAAGATTATATCTCTTTCTGATTGTGACCTGATGCCACCTTGCCGAGGCCGAATGGTCTCTTTTCACTACTAACATGCTTGCTATCCAGTCCTTGAAGGGGTCCAGACCAAGAAAGGCCTCGAGCCATTTGACGGCGGACATACTTCAAGGTTACGAAAACGATTGGGGAAGAAAACCACAAACTATACCCACAAAGGAAATGCAGGAACAGAGCATTGATACCAAGATACCAAGCACAAAGCAGAAAAGAATAGATAATCATGATAACGATTATGAACAAGAAGAAAAAGAAGACCGAAAAGAAGTAGCAGAAATGGATAGAAATATACATTATGGAACACGAAAAGCAGAAGCAAAAATATAATACATGGTATGAGCCGGGGTAAAACAGAACGACATTTCAAGACTCTATGTCCTGTCGATGTTTGATGTCTCCTTGAGTCTCGAAAAACTTGATTCTAAAAAAACATAGAATTCATTGTCTACTATTAGTTTCATCAGTATGCGATATTGGGGAAGAATTCTCCATGTGGAAGAGTGACATTGGGCCAAGCATCATTTCCGCGTGCGGGCCGGCCCAACTGTTCGCGGGTGTCTCAACTAGATCAATTAAAATTTCCATTAGAATTTTACCCCGCCATTCCTCTCCCCTGTGGACTCCTGAAATCAGCCGTCATTCGATGACAATTCCTTGCGCTGACACACCACACAAGCTTCAAGTTCCCACTGCCCAGAGACCCCTCTTGGCCCTTTTTCGCCCCCATTTCCAGTCGGAGCAGTCGGCGCCACTGTCCACATGTTGTCTTCTGATCAGCCCTCCTTTGTCCCCCTCGGACAGCGGGCTAGGGGAGCTTATTGCGAGGCGCTAATGGAGACCCGTCATTTGGCAGCC